AAGGCCAGCTGGATATATTCAGAGACCCCGGCTAGCAGGGCCGGCCACTCCAAGTCAAACAGAGGGCCATGCCTGCTGATCAGGGGCCCACTGAGTCGATAAGGGCCTATATTTCGATCACACCGCCAGTAACACACAGTCAGCTCCATGGCGGCATGGGCCCAACGGTCTATTTTCCAAGCAGGGACAAGCCGGAGCCAGCGAGTTACCTCTTTCGAGGTCCCAGAGCGCCTAACAGGGCCCTGCGTTGTTAATGGGTCCCAAGTTGGCCAGCGGCAGTATTCGAACAAATCCAAAGAGCCTAGAGGGCCCACCGGGTCCGACGATCAAAGGCGTGATTGGAGGGCCTAAGGACATAAACAGCTGGTCGGAGTCTCATTCAGGGGCCCGACCTGCAAAGACGGACTCTCAAATGATGGTCGGAGGGCCCTTTGTGCTGATCGGGGAGCCACTGAGGCGATATGGGCCTATAGATAGATCAGTTACCCCCGGACCACACAGTCGACTCAGTGCCGTTACGGACCTGAGGACCCACTTCCCAATCAGCTATAAAGTCGGGGCCAGTGATTTATGCTGGCCGGGGGCCTTGTGTCTGTCAGGGACCCACAGCGCCTGCAGAGGGTCCTGTGCTCGCACGGGCCCCGAGCCGACCAAGGGAAGTGTTCCGTGAGGCCCGAAGAGGGGTCCAGGAGGCCCACCGAAACCGACAATCAAAGGCCCGGTCGGAAGGCATAAGGGCCCAAAGGACTGACTGTAGGTCGCACGGAGAATCTCTGCCCCTAGGATCGTGACCTGAACTATCAGTCGGAGGTCCTCCTGCACCGTTGGGGAATCCCTGAGACATTGCGGGTGTCTAAGTCGGTCAGGGACCACGAGCACGGAACAGTCGGCGACATGTCCGTATGAGCTCTTGAGGCCCATTTCCCAAGCAGGAGCGAGACCGGGGTCCGCGATTGGCAATGTTCGGGGTTCCTGACACCATGAGAAGCTCCTGTGTCGGTTAAGAGCCACAGTGCCGAACTGTGGCGGTGTGTGGCCCCGAGTCGGAGCGGTGTTTGAGGTGGCCCGAAGAGGGGCCGAAGGACCTCTCGAGACCAAGAATCAAGGACCTGATGGGATGGCTGAAGGGCTTGAAGGGCTGGCTGTAGATCTTATTAAGGGCCCCCGCCCCTAGGGCCATGTAGTGGACGTGTAAATGTCGGTAAGATGATCTCTTGCACTGATAGGAGCTCCTGAGACAGAGCATTCTTATATTTTGGCCAGAGATCACGAACTCCATGTTGGTCTGACCTCCGGGGGCCCACTTCCCAAGCAGATACAAGGTCAGGCCCGCATTTTACACTGCTTGGGCTCCTGCATCCTTCAGGGCCCACAGTGTTCAACAGTGCATTCTGCGTCAACAAAGGGCCTCGAATCGGTCAGGGGAAAATTTACCTCAACGGGAACGGGGAAGGGAGCCCGAATGGCAGAGGGCCACTGGCGTCGGTTGGGCTCTCTAACAATTGTAGGAAACATACAAATTTGTGATGAGTGCTCAAATTGATGTAGTAGAAGAGTCCTGTGCCAGTCAGGGCCCCCAATGCCGAGCGGCAGGCCCTCCAACCCAATTCCAGCATGGACCCGTCAAGCCCAACTGGAGTCCATGTGCCAATTATTTGGCCCCCTGCGGCGAGCAGAGACGCTGTTGCATTAATGACGGGTCCATGCGTCGATCCGGGACCGGTTACGCGGGTCAGAATGCCTCCCGTGTCAGGGAGCGGACCAATGTGATATAACGTATCATCCCACTGAGGACCTCCGGATCAACCAGGGGATGCCGCCCCGTGTCGCCAGAATGACGGCCGGAAAACACATCGCGGTGGGAAAGCACGGCTCTTCAACCTTTGACCGGGAACAACAATGTGTCCCGTAGTGTTGTACTCAGGGGGCCCCTTTGCCGAAAAGAATGAGGGGTTCCAATAGTGTTGAATGGAGTAGGTCGAGATGAGTCCAGGACGCGCAAGGCCATCCCATGTTTCTTGCAGAATCGACAAGTGAAACAAATACCATCAAATGGTTTGAGCCTGCACGCCGGGTGCCATAGTGTGGCGGTGAACGCGCCTGCGTTAACCACCGCAGGGAATCTGGGAAACCACAGGTACGGGGTTCGATTCCCCATGGTGCCACCCTTCCCGCCAAGGTTAGAGGCTGGTGGCGCCATAGTCCCAGCAGCTCAGAACGTTGTTGGGCCTCAATAACATGCCCGTAATCTCGGGAAGCAAGGATAGCGATGACTTGGGTTGCAGTCTTTGTAGAAATAAACGGCGTTGACCGCTGAACGTGACGCCAGGGGGCGGGCGCTGAGCGCGCAACGATGATCATCGTAACATGACGTTATTGAATATCTTTCAAAATAAATTCATATAGCTCAAAGACTACACTGAGTTTTTTAAATTGATGTTGTCCTCTGGACACGTTAACACCTGCAGCAACACGGAAAATAGAGGTTTTACCTTTACTCTCCCAGTTCCACCGCCAGATTTCAGCACCACTTCGCGGTGCTTTAGATACCAATACGCTATTGTCACCAATCTAAAAATTGCATAGGCGAAATATACGCCCAGAATATCTTTAAATGTACGGTTGGTACCTTAAAGCATTCAAAGGATCCTCTTTCAGATGCGTCACCATTTCCTCCAAGCTGTTGAACACGCGACCAACGCTACCCGTCGCATGGAAACTGCAACGTGTGGCATCAAGTTTTTTGTTGCTAAGATATGGGAGCGTGCATGCTTAATACTACGCTGTATAATTTGCACCACTACTCGGTTATGCCTTAATGTTGAACGTATCCACATAAACATGGTCAAGCCATGTTAATAAGAATTATTGACCCATTTTGATCCTCAATCTACATTTGTGGAACGCTTGCCATCTCTGTACAGCTCAGATAAAAATTCTGACAAAGTTTCTGAGTACTATCGGTTTAAAAATAATCCATTGGACCATTGTAAGCCGAATAGCACTGCCGATGTGTTTCATGCAGTCATTTAACACGTTTATTTAACACGTTCATGCAGTCATTTAACACGTAATTTTGTTCGTTTATTCAGTATAATCTAGAGGCATAATTGATCTCGCAGTTGCGTCTGGCCTATACTCCAGTTATGGAAGGCAACAGGGTCTCCGTCTCCGTCTCCGTCTCCGTCTCCGTCTCCGTCTCCGTCTCCGTCTCTGTCTCTGTCTCTGTCTCTGTCTCTGTCTCTGTCTCTGTCTCTGTCTCTGTCTCTGTCTCTCTAAGAAAAACATGTCCTCAATAACAGATGGACCATATGCAGCGATTTTTGGAGGGGTCCCTTGTCAACCTTGCGCCCCTCCACTTGCCAAGGCTCTGGCTGTGCCCTGATTCCAGCCAAAAATATGGGGCCCAAGCCAAGGTTGGGGGGGGGAAACTTAATATGGCGGGGGAGGGGGAAGGGGGGACATGGCCCTCACAAAAGAATACAAACCGGCACCCTTGTCACGAGATGCAGGCGTGATTGGTACTCTCCCAGTAGATGTCGCTTACTATTCAGTTATCAAAAACAATAGATTCCAACCATACGATTCGCTTGAAAACTGGACGATAAGTTATTTGAGGGACATTCTTTTCGGAAAAGCATGCTGTTTTTACCCTAAATCGACTTATGTATTGTATACATCATAAAGAGCGACGCCGGCCCGGACACCGCGTCATCGCACCGCGAGTGCCGTTGATACGGTTGCTGCGCATCTCCTCAAGGAAGTGTGGTTCACGTACGTGCGCGCCAGTTGGTGATGACGTCGGAGCCAAGCGACTGTTTCTTTATCCCTTATTACGTGATGTTGATGACGTCACCGGAATACCAAACAACTGCTGTTTTCAAAAGTGCTTATATCCTTTATGAAGGGCCCCAACCACTGTTTCAGGGACCCAGACCAATGCAAATCGTGAACCCCGGTCATGCTCCTGCTCGGAAAATATGCCCCATGGTTCAGACTGATAGGAAGCCAATTGTTTTATGTTCGTGGTCTCTGGCCGATTTAGACACCCGCACTGTCTCAGGGGGTCCTCAAAAGGTGTATAAAGACCTCTGGCTGATATTTCAGGTCACGCAACCACGGGCTGCGATTCTTTATTCGACCTACAACCAGTCCCCCGGGCCTCCTCGAGCATAGGCAGACCCTGGGGGGGGGGGGGGGGGGCACGGGGCCATGGCCCCCAAAACCTCTGAGAGTATGTTTTGTCCCACCTCAAAACATTCCCAGAACTTCATAAAAGTTTCGTCTACCTACCGTCTGTTTTAACTTTAACTGTTTTAACTGGTTTAATATTCAAAAGCATTTCGGTGCTTTTTTCGGTTTTGAGTGGTGTCCCTACTAGGTACTCGCGAGAGGCGCCATGCAGCGACGAACGGTTGCCCCCCCCCCAAAAAAAAATTCCAGGCTAGATCCGCCCCTGTCCTCGAGCACTGTCTCCAGCCGACTTGAAACCCCTTGCCAGCACAGGGCCTCCGTAAGGCGCTGGGGGGCCCCGACCAATGGAAATCGCTGGTTCCGGCTTTGTCCCTGCTTGGGAAATGGGCCCTCTGGCCCATGCCACCACCGAACAGATTGTGCGTTACTGATGGCATGTGACCGACACATAGGTCGTTATCAACCCGTGGGCCTTGATCAGCGCGCAGGGCCCTCTGGCTGGCAATGGAGTGCCTTTTACGTTTGTTTGGTATCCTAGTGATGTCATACACACCATGCAATAAAGCATACAGAATTCCAATTCGCTCAGCAAAGACGTCACCATCAGCTGGCACGGGTATGCATAAGCCACCCCTCGTTGAGAAGCCACGCCGCAACTATCAACAGCGCTGGCGGTGAGGGTAGGTGGCCCCGGGGCGGGCGCTGCTATTACAGACACGTGACAGTATATTAATCATATGTAATGATATGGACTATACATGACTTGAGGTATAAGCTGCAAGACTTACCGAAGCCAGATTATTGAAGTAACTATTGTCCAGTTTACAAGAAAATCGGATTAGAACCCATGTTTTTGTTGCCTGAAAAGTAGGTGACGCCTACTAGAGCACTGGTGTGATTATTGTCTTATCTTGTTCAAATAATAATCATGATGATGACGATAGGCACAGTAATTTTTCCCTTAGATCAGTTTTGAATGTTATAGACTATTGATGCTTTGAAAATGGGGGAATGATGCTTGTGGCTTTTGCACAGCTATACGACATCGTTTTCCCCCACGATATTGAAAAAACGGTTGCCCGAAAATTACGCACGCAATTCGGAACGTTCACCAAGCGCAAGCAGCCACGCTCGCGCATAACCACACGTATATCCTCGAAATCAAGAATGATGATTAATGTGAACCTTGTTCAAGGTTGCGCCTGTCAATCATTCATGACGTCACTGGGAAAATAAGTCAGTTTGCAACACGAACTAACGTAGCCTACGGTAGCATGACGACACCACTAAATAGCAAAATAACTTGGTAACGTGAGTAACGTAGCGTGATGTAACGTAAGAAACTTAACAATTGTACCTCACCCGACATAACCTTATTAAATTAGAACGTCATATTAAGTACCTTTTGTTGACCAACCAGTCCTCATTACGCAAAACTTGATAAGAATATTGAAATTCCGAAATGTGCTCTCATTATGAGCATTGTTTTCTGCTTTTAAAGAAGACGACTCATGTGCAATATGCTCATGCAAAGCTAGGTGAGACGCAGGCGTGAATGGCATGTGGCCTGTGAGTCAGGTGTGACAGTAGGTGGCTGCCCACCATCCGCCGCGGCCCACCGTGGAGCATGACACTCCGTACATTTGGGCGAGCCAAATGTGCGTAGTGCGGCTGGAGATGAGATGCGGGTTTATCCGAAACACAGCCATCCTGCCAACAGATAATGCTGAGGGCGTGTCAGTGTAGCAGACAAATGTTGCAAGCGGGAACGTGACCGACTTAGTAGGGGCGTAGTTTGTGGATATGAGCACGGTTATGTAACCGCAAAGCTGTGTAAAAAAGGCAAGACTATCCGGCGATTCCTGTTTCATCTTCGCTTGAAACGTTAGCGTGGCGTTACTGGTACCGAGACTTCAATGCGTAGCGGGCCGCTAGACGCCGGGCGGAATGCTGAGAAGCAACCGGAACACCGAAACATTCCTCCAAATGATGCAAAAGCCGTTAGCGGAAGGTGCAGTTGACCAGTAAGTGGGCCGTTAGCGGAAGGTGCAGTTGACCAGCCAGCGGATGACGTGGAATTTTATGACGAGTATGAGCTTATGCTTTGCGGAAAACCATTTCAGTGCAATGACGTGAAAAGTCAAGACGCACACACGGTTATCATTCCCGTAGGCAGCAGTAACGTCGGGCTGTCTTCGTACCCATCATGAACAAAGTGTTAGTGGCAAATGTATATGACCAACAACTGATTGGGCAGAATTTAACGACGAGTGTGATGGTGCCCGAGGTATCCTTAAGCGGCAAGTCATTATAACGCACTTCGATCGAGTCTGTTCGTCTGCTGAGTTTATTTTTGGCGTTAGATGCGTCCAGATGATGCGCGCTGGACGTGCCGTGCTCGGCCCCTGCCTGTGCACCTTCCGCCGTGATCGGTCCGTGCTTATGTGCTTTCCGCCATGCTCGGTCCGTGCCTACGCACCTTCCGCCATGCGCGGTCCGTGGCTACGTACCTTCCGCCATGCTCGGTCCGTGGCTACGTACCTTCCGCCATGCGTGGTCCGTACCTGTACGCTGGGCCGACAGTGCTCGGTTCTCACCTGTCTGTATAGTCATGAGTGTCGAGCCACGCACGTTGCGCTGGTGAGATGTTTACGTGCGTTGCTTTTTTGGCTACTTTTTCCAGTCAACGCCAATGAGGCGTTTTGGGAAGTTGATTTTGGGAAGTTGTTGGGAAGTTGAAGTTGAAGTTGGGAAGTTGGGGCTAATCCCCTCCCTTGCCTAGTACCCAGCCCCCACGTAGGCATATTCAATACTCACGCCAATTGAACTGAGCTCGCAAAGTGCATGTTCATGCTTGCAATTTGTACCTGATGGGCTTGCAGATGTATGTACTTTCTAGCAATAATCTACTTGCTACTTTACTGGGAACAAGGAAGCCCGATGTTCAAGCTACCCATCTCCTACAGTTCACGCATGGGCGTTTTCGCTTCTCACGCTGATTTCACTTAAAAGGCTACGGATATAAGCTTACGATGAGCACATCATCATACTCTCTACTAAATTCTACGTATTCGGCTTCCTGGTTATGTAAACCTATCCTATACAGGCTGAACAACCTGTTGATACTCGGTTCGAAGGCGGTCCGGCGTCCCGGCCGCCCGTCTATGCAACAGCTCTGGCATAAGCGTTTTCAATTTCTACGCCGACTTCATTGCAGCGGTTGGTGACGCAGGCTTGCCAGGCGTATCATCATATTTAACGTTCAATTTTCCGCGATTGGCGTGCTGTTCATATACACCTACCGCCAACAGTTTTGCTCGTTATCGATACAAAAATAGCCCGATGGCCCAGCTGTACTATCTTACATCATTCACGTGTGCACGCTTATACTTCTCATGTCATTACATTTTAATGGTTAGTGGCAAAGGCTAGCTAAGTACACCATCATACTCGCCATTACATTCTACGAAATCGGTTTTGCGATCCTGTCTACCTCCCACCAATAGTTTGTTCGTTATTTGTACGAAGATTTTCGACGTCCAGCCCGCCCGCGACGTTACTCCCGCTGCTAGCGGCCGTACCGCGTTGAAGTTTCGGGAGCAGCGACGTCACCGCCCTGCACAGAGCGGGTGGAAACCCTAGGTGTGGGGAAGTCCATGCGCGACATCCCGATGTAACAGATTCGAGGTTGTGCTCCGGTTCTCGCGTCTGTAAAGGTGCTGCTAAAGCTTGACATTACCGTTGCGCTTGAAGGCTACACCGCTACGGGCTGGGTGCAGACCCGCGTATTGCTGCCATTTGTGCATCTTTCAAAAGGCTTTTGCATAGGTGAAGGAATGTGTCAGAAAGTATGCATCTACGTTCGAGCTTTGTCGGGATCAAGCACGTGTCAGATGGTTCCACGTGGGAGGAGAATGTCAAATTTTCTCTGAACTCGAGCTAACTTGGAACGAATTTTTCCTGAATCGCCCAGCATCCTGGTGCAAACCTTTGCCCCGGAGGGGCGGGGGGGGGGAGGGGGGCGTGACGCCGTGTCCTTTCTGGGTTAAATCCCCGGTTTGGATGCGTTCTCTATATGGTTTAAGGAAAGGATTTATGGCAAATGCGGTGTATCCCCTTTTCTATGGCGTGAAGGGCTTGCATCTTCATCCAGATATGACGTCATATCACTCATGCTTAGATTTTCACAGTCCATTTGAATGCGTGATGGCAGCGATATTCAGTTTCCTGTGCGTTGCATGGCAGAACAGGGCGTCAGTTCGAAAAGGTATTATTGATTTTCTTGATACAGTACGAAGACATGGTAGTACCAACAGGCGCACAATTTTCGTTGATCACTCCGTGTGTCTCTGGAAATCTTGCGGGAGGCCAATTCACCATTGGCGCATCTCAATTTTTCATGGAAGGCATCAATAAATTATAAATCTAACCGCCCTCCAAGCTCCTGGAAGACACTTGGGCGTCCGAAGAGGCCCCAGCTCACGTCGGGGAGGTGGCGGTCGCCACGTAGGCACGCCACCCGCCCTCCTTCTCCGCCCTGAGGCTTCGTCATTGATCGGTTCGGATGCGGCAGAATTCATGTGTAATGTCAGTGGCCTTGCATATTATGTCATCATATATCTCATTATGATTGCCGCCCGTTCGTTTTTAATTTCGCGTCAAATATCCCATGCTATCGGCAGATACATCTCTGCTGAAAGCTGAGAAGTCTTTGATGGCGACAGAAGAGTTGGGGGGCGATGAATATACCCTCGACCACACTAAGCTCATCAGCGCCCCAGCCTTGGGTAAGTGGGCTTACGTACATTTCACCCCTGCTTGAATTATGTCTTAGGTTGGTCATATTGTCTATGTTGTCTCGCTCAAGACGCGCGTATTGTTCCGATGATATTCTGGGCGTCACTAGGAAGCCACTGTGTTCCGTCTCTTGGATTTGTATCATGCCGTGCTCCATAGACACTGCTTCTATATTAATGTCAGAGGGTGGCTGACGACAGTGAATATGCCTCAGACGCGCTGCCGCTGGAGTGGGGCCAGAGTCTGCATCAGAGAGCCTCTGTTCCCCGTCTCTGGTGACGGTGACTGTGTCCCTCAGACGCGCTGCTGCTGGAGTGGGGCCAGAGTCTGCATCAGAGAGCCTTTGTTCCCCGTCTCTGGTGATGCTGACCGTACTCTTCAGACGCACTGCTGCTGGAGTGGGGCCAGAGTCTGCATCAGTGGGCCGCTGCCCCATCTCTGGTGACGGTGACTGTGCCCCTCAGACGCGCTGCTGCTGGAGTGGGGCCAGAGTCTGCACTAGGGGGCCGCTGCCCCGTCTCTGGTGACGGTGACTGTGCCCCTCAGACGCACTGCTGCTGGAGTGGGGCCAGAGTCTGCATCAGGGGGCCGCTGCCCCGTCTCTGGTGACGGTGACTGTGCCCCTCAGACGCGCTGCTGCTGGAGTGGGGCCAGAGTCTGCACTAGGGGGCCGCTGCCCCGTCTCTGGTGACGGTGACTGTGCCCCTCAGACGCGCTGCTGCTGGAGTGGGGCCAGAGTCTGCACCAGGGGGCCGCTGCCCCGTCTCTGGTGACGGTGACTGTGCCCCTCAGACGCGCTGCTGCTGGAGTGGGGCCAGAGTCTGCATCAGGGGGCCGCTGCCCCGTCTCTGGTGACGGTGACTGTGCCCCTCAGACGCGCTGCTGCTGGAGTGGGGCCAGAGTCTGCATCAGGCGGGCGCCGCGCCGCCGGACGCCGAGCTCGCCCACTTCGGCGTGTTCGGGGCCCCGGCTACAGGCCACCTGCTGCTCCTCTTCTGTCGTCGGCTCTCGCAGCCCTCGCCGGTCTTCTTCCGCGCGCTGCAGCTGTTCGAACGGTCAGTCGGTGGTGGTGGGAGCAGCTGATGATGGACAGTCACTCCATGTTTGTGCACTGCCACGCGCCGACAAAGACAGCCGTGCGCCGAGCTGTTCGGCTTTTGGATAGATTCTTGTGTGCTCGACATTGTCTGTTTTGGCTGCCAGGTGATATAGAGTACGTGAGATCCTGATTGATATAGAGTACGTGAGATCCTGATTGATATAGAGTACGTGAGATCCTGATTGATATAGAGTACGTGAGGTCCTGATTGTTCATGACTTAAGACATAATGGCTCGAGATGTGCTGCTCGTAAATTGCCTTAGACCGGACCACAGCTGCTGCTGCTGCCGCCTGATCCCTTATTTTGTTCGTTTTATATTATCAGATTTATGCAGGCGCACATGATGGAGATGTCCCAGTACATAACCACAAAGGTGGAGCGAGCAAACAGGGATAAGGAGTGGAAGAGCTTGCTGGAGCGAATACACAGTCAGGCCATTCTCAGAATGTTGTCCTGCGTCCAGATCTCTTCAAAACTTTCTCTGCATTACAAGGTGAGCATGTTTATTGTACAGACGGTTGAAATCTAAGGAGTTTTACGGACAACTTTGGCTGTATTGTGTAGTGCATGATCACTTTGAGCTCAGAGGGCTGCGCAGTACTTGAAGACCAGGGATTGGTTCAGTGTAATCTGATTTCGTAACCTACATTCACTACAGTTACCATCTGCGACCAGGGAATGTAAAAAAAACTTAAGGTGACGACCGATCCGATCAACGGAGCTCTCTTCGCAGATTGTCACGACGAAGCGTGTGAAGGGCCTGCTTCGGGAGGCGAAGCACTGCTACAGCCTGGAGAGCGTCGTTAACTCAGAGGTCAGGGTTCTCAAGACCCTGAAATTTCAGGTATGTAATGCCAATCAATCATCAGCTTCATAGTGCACGTCACGATGGCATAGGCAGCGCGTGTGATGTGCAAAGGTGACACGAATGTTTAGAAGCTCGTTCACCAACGATGCATGTACCAGTAGGACTGAACTACTGGTAGTTTTGAGGAACATGGGATCCGTGTTACCGAAATTGTTAAGGCCTCTCGCTGCTTGCATTTCGCAAGCATCGCCCTATATGTCCGCCGTGTAAGCCGCCAGGTTTGACTCTTCTGGGTTTGAGCCTGGCACCTCCACCCCTGCCTACTGATCACCGGGCTTTCTGGCCACGTGACGTGACGCGTCCGTTCGTTCTTCGCCGCCCGTCCGCGGCTCCCGCCCACCTGTCTGACGGCACGCGCCGCCCAGGTAAGCTCGCCGACCTGCCTGGACACGCTGGAGACGCTGCTGGCCGTGGTGACGCGCCGGCGCCCGGACCTGCTGGAGCCGCTGAGCCCGGCACTGCCGTCGGCGGCCGTGCGCCTGCTCCGCTCCGCTTGTGTCCGGCGCTCGGCGCTTTACCTGCGCCTGTACCGGCGCACCACGGGCTGTGCGCAACTGGTGCCGGCAGCGCGCCGCCAGTTTGCCGCTGTGCTGGCTGACAGCGTGCTGCTGGCCGCCGCCGTGCTGGCCGCCGCCGCCTTCCTGGTGCGCCGCGACAGCAGCGACGAGCTGGTGGCGCTGCTGGCTGAGCTGACGCAGATCCCAGCCGGCGACCTGCTGGAGCTGGCCGAGCTGCTGCTGCGAGACCTGCTGCCTGGCATGGAGACCGACTGAGGGACGCGGGGCCGGCTGCTGGGCGCAGGGATCGGCTGCTGCGCCCAGAGACCGGCTAAACGTCACAGGGACCGGCTGCTGGGCGCAGGGGCCGGCTGCTGGTCGCAGGGACTGGCTGCCGGACCCAGAGACCGGCTGCTGTGCCCAGAAACGAGCTAAACGTCACAGGGACCGGCTGCTGGGCGCAGGGACCGGCTGCTGGACCCAGAGACCGGCTGCTGCGCCCAGAGACAGGCTAAACGTCACAGGGACCGGCTGATGGCATATGGGCCAGCTGTTGAGCCGCGAGACCCGTTGACGGCCACGGGGACCGGATAATGAACGCGGAGCGGACATATGAACACGGCGACACCCAAGTGAGCGCAGGAACAGGAGTGCTTATAGGTGCGGGCCTGGTGGACACAGATGAAATGGTCGACACGGGTGTGTGCTATCATATTTATGTCTCATCAATATTTGGCTACCATCAGTCATTCTGTTTAGAAGTTGTCGGTGATATTAGTGTGAATGGCACTCTTTTGTGATTGCTGTGGTTGCAGATGAGGAGGATTGTTCTGGTGAAGTTAGTTCAGATGAGCAATGCGTTTTCTTCGTGAGTGGCTTTTTGCGCCGAGCTTACTTTTGTTGATTAATATATCATCAAGCATATCTGTGTTGTTTTCCAATCCCAGAAAGAGCTCTTAATTTGCGCGCCTGTATGTATTCGCGTTCATGCTGAGCTCACTCCGCCGAGCGTGTATTCGCCGGACATTTACCCGCCATTTACACACCCCGGCCCAGGACGCTTTGCGGCCAGAGCGCTGTTCGTTGGCCGCTGATGGTCGCGCTCGCTGACGGCCGGCCTCCGTGCGCCGCTGTCGTCGGCGTCGGAGGCCCGCCACAGTTTCCCATGGCTGGCAGCGCCTGGTCGCTGC